GGGGGGGGGGGGGGGGGCAGGGGAGGGGGGAAATCTAATTCCTTATTTCGGGGGGGGGGGGGGGGGATCAGGGTTGTGATTGTCCTGAGCATATTTTTGGGGGGGGGGGGGGGTCAAAAAATGTTGCCAAGCCTCACTGACTGACAGCTGAATAGCTGAGAGAAGAGTTACCCCAGGTGCTTTACACACAGGTGTGTGTATAACAAAGAGATATTCAAATGAGACATTCCTTCTTTTTGATTTCTTCTGTCTCTGGCATCAACTTTGCTTCCCACTAGGATCTCGAGCCCTTTCTGTGGGATGGTTGCCCACCTGCTACACTGCTGCTTGACCTTATTGAATGTTTGCATCTGTGTTTAATTGATTCCTATGCTTTGGTTCCTAACAGGTTTTCACAGTTTCTAATCACCACGGAAGTGCTCATGTTCCCTTTCAATGTAGCCCACGGTTTGATAGCTCACATCCTCCATTCATTTTCTGACCACAAATTTCAGAGAAGCTGCTGTAGGACAGACTTGTGTATATCCACTTGAAAATTTCACCAGTTTGGCCAGCAGTTTATAAGCTTCTGCTAACCAGTGCTTTTTCCACTTATTTTAAAGCCCTTCACATACAAGGGCACTTCATTTTTCTGCTGAAAGCGTTACTGACGCAACCATGACTTCTCTCTTGACCACTTACCTAGTTAGATAAAGATTTTAATTGATCTGAGATGGTTTTTCCCTGCCAAGCCAGGCTGCCAGCACCCTCCTGAAATTTCTTGCTGCTTTCTTGTCCCATAGGATCTCTTGAAGAAACCATTCAATTCTTTACTCTAGCCAACCTTCCTCAGCGTTTCAGGCAGGTGCCTTGGTCTTTGATTCCTTGGACCTTTCTTTCTCCTCTGATTTGGTTTTTATCTTTCCTTGTCTGTGGTTTTGCTTTTTCTTATATGTTAGTTAATATTAGATCATTTGCTTTGCAAGATGTCTGTTGTTTTTGTTTTTTTTTTCAATAGGCCATGGTCAAAAGGGTGACCAAGAGTGCAACTGCAGCTGCTCTGTCTACATCAGGCAGTAAAGGAACTTCCAGTAACATGGACAGAGGTGACCAGAAAAAGATCAGAGAGGAACAACAATCTGAACTCATTATTTGTCAGGAAATCTTTTGCTCAAATTTTAAGGCAGTATGCTACTGTTAAAATTTCCTTATTTATTTGGAAATACTCTTCCTTCCTACCAATTTATCAAGCTTCAACTCATTTTCTGTAGAGATTTTCTGTATTTGCTGCAAAGTGCTGATACTCTAAAATAAAATTTGGAACAAAATATGGAATTTCCATAACTTGGAATTTTAAATAGACTTTAAAATATGAATAATCCTTTGTGGTGTTGCTCCACAACTCAGCAGGCAGGTCTGCAGGCCCTTGAATGTTGCTACCACAACGTGAAGCAGCAGCCTCATGACTTCAAATTGGACTCCTGAGGAGCTCAGAGATCTGCAGGGTTGGCAGCACCAGTAGTGGTGACAAGGAGCTTGCTGGCAGTAACTGAGGAGGACATGAAGGCAACCAAAGAAAGCTCCACTCTTGTTCACCCTTGGTACTCAGCTCCCAGCTTTGTACATATAGGCAGCAATGAGATTCCCTGCCCCATGTGAAGTTTATGCTGATCTACCAAAAATTAATTCATAGGCTTTATATAAGAGGTTTATGTAACATAGGGTTACATAACATAATGCACCAAAGGCTTCATCCTATGAATTTTACATAAGTAATATAGACAACCATGTGATACATTTCATAGGTTTGTATTGCAAAGTTATTATTTTAGTAAAATTATATCAATATAATGCAAAATTCATTAAATACTAATATCAATATCTGTGGTTGCTCAACACTGAACTGTTTATGGTAGTCTTAAAAAATCAGTGACATTTGAGACAACCTAGTGTTCCCTCTGGTCTCCAGAGATGATAAAATTAGTTTGCTTGTAATGTATGTTAACCATGCAGAGTCCTTGCCATGATGGTAAGCAGATGAGTGACTGGCAAGGCAAGGGGCACAGTGTTAAAATTGCTCTGCTGGCAAAAGCTGTCTCCAACCCAGCTCTCATGCTGCCTGTGTTGACCCTGCCTGGCAGCTCAGGCACTTGCACAGCACTGCCCCTTACTGCCAGGCAAGGACTGCTAGGAGCATCACTTCTGCATCAGCAATGGTGGAAGCTGGAAGAAAAGTGCCCTGACACCTCCAAAATGGTTATTTGAAAGGCTAAATGTGAACATTTCTATTAGCATGTTCACAAGCTTGGGTCAGCAGCCAGGCTCAGGCCCAGGTCTTCTGACCTATCCAGCCTGCAGCATCATATTTCTCTCTCTCTTCTCAAACTGAGTTTTAGACCCCTTCCAAGAGTATTCAAGCTGTAGATTGCTACCCACTGAGCCCCATGAAACTGAAAAAAATAAACATTGGGATTTAAAATTTATTTTTATTTCTATCTTATTCTTGTTATTGTTCTCTAATTAATAAATTGGCATCGAGAGAGCCATCCACTTTCAAACAGACCAGAGCTCATTCACTTGTATTAGAAACTGGGATTCCTGGCAGAGAGACGGATGCTGAAATGCTTTTAAATTTGGAGGAAACTCAGCATAAATGTGCCAAAGCTAAAGCAGGAAAGGTTGTGGGGTTTTTTACCAAAACTATTGTTGTGATACGGCTCCCAGCATGGGTACATATGGGGTTGACTCCTGCTCCAAAGAGCTGCTCTCTGATGGAAAGGTGTTTTGCCTGCTGTGGGACTTGCAGTATTTTACATATAGATGCCATGATGAGGTCCCCAGTTGCATCATGGCTGTGGACTCAGGAGACCAACCAAAGCATGTTTAGAATTGTCCCCCTCAAGGCTGGCTACAGGAACACTCAGCTACTGCAGAGACCAAGGGCTCACTGAGAAGTCTCTTCATTGCTCCTTAGCCAGCAGCACTAAGGGAAGAAAACAGGGTATTCATTGCCTGCATTGGCCATGGAGAGGAAAGAAGGTGGATGCAGATGGGAAGAGCACAGCTGGTGCCCAGGGAGAGCTGTTTGTGTCCATGTCTGGGAGATGCACAAACAGCCCCAGGGTGCAGCTTTGAACAGGAAGAGTCACCTTCCTCACTCAAAATTAAACATTGCTGGTCTGTCCCCATCTGCCTCTCAAAGGTCTCGAGCTTGCGGAATCTCATCCCTGGGCGTCTCCTGGAAGGCTGTGCTGAGCTTGCCCATCAGCGAGCAGGGGGCTGGGATTTGCTGGAGCGAGCAAGGTGACATTGGCAATGCCACCAGCATCGGTCCTGCCAGGAGACCTGAGGAACTGCTCTGGGTACTACAATCACTGCTGGGCCAGTCTGCAGAAGGGAGGCTCCATGGAGGGGTGGGTTTAAGACCTAGAACCCGTTTCTCTTAAAGTACTGGGCTCGCCTAATCACGCTGTTGACGTAGTTGTAGTCGCTGCTGCATGGGTCCTCCTCGTAGACCTGGAGGTTGCCCATTCTTGCATGGTAGGTGCAGATTCCCCCTGGAAAAAGTTAAGAAAGCATTGTTATGGGCTTGTAAGTAAGAGATAGAAATTTAAGAGAAAACGTTTGTAGCAAAAAATGCCATGCATCTCACCAAACAGGAACTGCTTGACGAAGTGACAATTGTGCATTATTGTTGAAAAGTGACTGGTTTTGTAAAATCTTTATTGCTTTAGTGAAGGAGCCCATGACTCTCTCCAAATGCAGGTGGAAATGGAACACTGTTACCAGAAAGGGTGTAGTCAGAGCAAAAGAAGGGCAGTAACAGAGCAAGGAAGGGAGAGTAAGAAACAGCATAGGGTGAACAAACCAGCGCACCAATAGCATGGATACAAGGAAATCTGGATTGCAATCTTCCTGGACACAACAGGTTGCCACAATAATTCTGTTGTGTTGTGATGCCTCAGATTCTGCATTCTCCAGTGACTTTTGTCCTAACAGCCATTTCTAATTGCCAATCTGCTGGTCTGGTACTGCTTCTGTTAAACTAGAAAACTCTGGTTCTGGTTGTTATTTCGGGACTTTGGGGATTTCTTTTGTTTGTTTGGGATTTTTTGTGGAGTTTTTTTTGTTTAGTTTAGTTTCATTTTGTGTGGTTTTTTTGGTTTAGTTTTGGTGGTTTTTTGGTTTTTTGTTTGTTTGTTTTGTTTGTAAGAGATGCTGTAAAATCTGCCAGGCTGATGCTCTTTTTCCTTTAAAAGTGACACCAACAAGCACACAGCAGTCCCATCAGTCAGTATGTCCCTCCCTAGTACAAAGCCCATTCCATACCTCTCAGCTGCCGGTCCCAGGTCCAGGTGGGATGTCTTGCCCGTACTTCATTAATGGAAAGAACCAGGATATTTGAGCATTGATTTATGTGTTCTTCACTATCCCACGCCACATAAGGTTGCAGTTGCTGCCTGCTGATCTAGGAAAACAAGCAAGAAAATGGGTTTCCCTCTGAATGCCACTCCCTCTTCATTGCACTCCCAGGCTTCCACTCATTGAAGTGACCTTATTCAGGATAACACCTAAGCACAGCCTTTGCAATAAAGTGCTCTTTCAAACACAGCACAGTCATTTGCTAAGATAAACCTTGGGGAATGCACTGGATTTCTGTGCTGTTGCTCATGCCTATCACCCTGGAGTACCTGCATCAGGCCGTACTTCTGGCGTCCCTGGTCCCAGCCGTTGTCCAGGAGCAGGCCGACACGGCTCTCCTGGGACATGATGGCTCCGATGAGTGCTGGGTCCAAGCAGAGGTTTCTGGCTACTCTCTTAATTGGGATCTCGTATCTCCTCAGGCGTATGAGGTCTGCCTCAGCAGTCCTCCGTATCATGGCATATCCTGCTGCATAGGAAAAGGCAGACTTACACACACCCCTGTACAAAACCCTTGCTTCGCCCTTGAGCAGGTGTGTCAAAGGAGTAACTCAAGTTTTTAAGAAATCACATCTTCATCAAGTTGGGAAGTGGGGTTTGAGGAACAAGAACAGCTCTATTGGCTCTGACTATGGCCAGGAAGCTGCTGTTCCACTGCCCAAGGATGACCAGGGGAACAGGGAGGCTTCTTAGGAGGTGGAATGCATGGTCCACTTCTTCTGCTGCACCTCTGAAGTCAGAAAAGCAAAGTTTCAAAATGGATTTGAAAAAATTGAGGGGTGTGTTACTACAGATTGTCCACAATTCAGTAGCAGCTATGTTCCATTTCTAGAGAGTGGGGGCTTTTTTAAAGCAAATTTGAAACAGTTTGGAAATAAGCAAGCAGGTTCAGATCTATGCTTGAACATCCACAGTCAGGCGTCTGCCCTGGAAGAGCCTACATCTGAGGAACATGGCAAAATCCCTGGAGATATCAGTGGTATGAATGTGACATAGTCAGTTGTGTGGTCACACCAGGCAGTAACACCAGGAAAGAAAGAGAGAAATGTGCAGCACTGGCCAGCTCAGCCAACATGCCAGCACTCAGGACCTGGCTCTGTGTATCTTACCCTGGAGCAGACAAGCCCTGGGACTTTGTGAGGCGGCTGATGCTGAAGTCCTGGCTGACAAAGAGGCTGTTTTGACTGAAAAGTGATGGTGCTATTTCCTTTTGCTTTGAGGCCAAAGATCCTGACTATGGGACAGGAAGTCTGTCCTTCCACTTCCCATCACGTCTGGAGGCTTCACCTGCTATTTTGGGAGAGGAAGTGTCACTTTCTCCCTTTTGGCTTATTGAATAGCTGCACCACATTTAATTTGGCAATGACGGGAGGTAAGGCATCTCTCTATCAGGTACAAACAAGTTGACACATCAAGCAATGAATGATACATACCACAATCAGAGGCTCTTACAGGTGTACAGGAGATCGTGGGGGCTTGAAGAGCACTTATATCACCATAGCAACTGTAGCTCATGGATGGAGCTGAAATATTAAACGGAGCTGTTTGAGCACATAATATCTCAGAGCAGTATTGTTCAAATCCTTCAAGTGCATACAAATCAAGCATGAGAGAGTCCAGGCCTGCAATCCACATCCTCTTGTGTTGGCCCTGCTTGTGCAGTTGCCACTGGTCTCCATCAGTAGTGTTATCAAAGAAAGGTAGAGAACAAAAATTGGTTCTTTTCTAATTGAATATTGAAGCAAATGGATCTAATGACTGTTTAGATTAATATGCACCTGCCCTGTTAGGCCTAAATGCTGGTGTGAGAGAGGAGAACCAGAGCCTCTGCATTTATTTCAGAGGGCAGTTCCCATTCAACGCCCTCCAGTGTTTGAAACCACTCAGATGATGGCTGGAGGTCACTGAGCACCCTGGCTGGGATTGCCTGCTGTGTCCCTCGATAACTTGGTGAGGAATTAATTCAGGAGAATGCTTGCCTCAGTCTGGGAAAATTACCCTGTTTCCCCAGTAACCAAGGAACAAATAGCCTCCATCAAATAGATTGCCACTTTTGTGAGAACGTTTCTGAGAAGGCAGGGAGATTGAATAAGCTTAGCTAGGAACCCTAAGAGGAGACATGGCTGTGACTCCTTTGGTTTCAGTCCTGTCCTCCAGATGAGATGGTTTAAAAGACACACGTGGGCAGCAAGCAGCCTCACACAGCAGCTGAGGACCTTCAGCCACACAGCATCTCAGAGAGCCATGCAGGAAGGGAACCTCAGGCCTGCTGCACACTTCTTCTCCAGGGTCCTGCAAACAATTCCCAGTGTGCTTCTGACAGCAACCCAAACCTGTCTTACCAACAAGGGCTGAAAGACCCAGCAACAGCAGTGCAGGGATCATGGTGATGGCTCTCCTCAGCTGTCCTGGGAGACCTGGAAACACAGTGGTTTGCAAAACATGAAGAAATTACTGCTGATTTTCAACAGCACTCTAGCAAAGTTGGCATGCCAAAAGCTTCCACCCTGAGTGCCAGACAGGGATGGCATTAGCTGAACAGGGGTTGGGCAACAGAGGAACTTTCTCCCCCTAGGGAGGCTGGGATCAGGGAGGTCCCTGCTGGCAGCCTGGACCAGCAGGGACCTTTTTAGTCCCTGTCAGTTGTCATTGCTTGCTCACACTCCCCCTCCTGAAGGCCCATCATGTGTCTTTACGATGAGCAGGTCCACTAGCTTTGCTTTAATTTGAATAGGTGTTTGAAGTCTAATGTGCTAGAAAGTGCACACAACCTCTGCCTCTCTGTTCAAAAAGGATTTTTCCTTGGCTTTTGGAAAAACTTGTTTTCAAAAATCAAGAACTGTGACCCTTAATACTCTGCTAAGAGCATGCAAGGCAAATTCAATATTTATTTGGTGAAATAATACTTATCTGTGTGATGCTGGCAAATAACCACTTTACTAATAAATGTGTGTGTTGTGCCTATTTAAAAAATTCCAAAATATCACCAGATGATAGCTATCAAATGAAAAACTTGACTATATTTGCCTTGCTGATGAACACATTTAAACTGAGCAGCATTTATGGCTTATAATTTTTTTCCCCCAAGAAGATTTCAAACACAAAATACACCATGAGTTTTGTAGGCAATTAACACTAATCTTGTTAACACTTGAACACACATTATCAGTTTTAATAACATGTAGCCATTTCTCTAGCCTGCATTTCTACTGCAAACCAGATTATAGGTATGCAGAAACACAAATAATCCACCAGTATCATTGGAAAAACTCCCTTGTCCCGACTGAGTTTATTCAGGCCAGCAATGCCCACAGCCAGATCAGAGTACACTTGGTAGCTCTGTCTGAGCTCTAACACTAAGGCTAAGTATTCATAAGACCAGCTCAATACAGCTTGACCCAACACCTGAATGAATTCAATGGCAAATCCATCTGATCCTTATTGAAAGCTATAGGATATAGCTGTTTCCACATGCAGGAATTTTTTTTCATTCCACTCCCATCACAAAAACCTCACAGGCCTTATATAGAAACACTGTAGCAATCACAATATTGGCAAAATTCTAAATCAAAACAAATCAAGGCTTCTGGTTCTTAATAAAAATTCTGTGAGTGAATTCAGACTCACCTGTATTCAGTTGTCCTTCCTCTGAGGCAGGTCACTTGATGACTTTATATATATATGCATGGGAAAAGGTATCCACCCTATGGGCTTTGGAATGTTAATTCCTACCTAGTGTGATGACTGTTTTATATTACACTAAGTAATATATATTATGAGCTTAAAACTCCAATGATTTCTTTCATCCAAAGACTTGCACAAAGGGTGGTTAGTCAGACTTGGGACAGCTCTGTGAAAGGAAATAAACACTGGTTTTTCTCCATCAATAAGCACATTGATGCACAGAAAATGACTTGAAGAAATTATTGAAGTGAATCAGTGGCAGAGGCTACGCAAAAACAGATCCCTGTGTAGTCCTCTCCTTGCTTTGCATCTGGACATATTTCTGGAAGGATTGTTTTTGTCTTGTTTCTTCAATGGTTTCAGATAGGAAAGCTTTTAATTAAGATCATACTTAATTAAGTATCATACTTTAATTACATACCATATGAATTTTAACAAGGACTATTAAGGAAAATCATCCCAGTGCTTCATTGTTTACAATAAACCCAATTCAGGATGGGCACTTGACGATTTTGAGAGCAGAGGCAGGGTCTGAGTTTAAGATGTGGGGAGGCAGGAGCTTGCAGCAAAAATTTGGAGGAAGAAACTGGTCTCTCAGCAACTGAAGTTAGTGGGGACACACAGAGGGGCTCTGAAAGACTTCCACTTTGCAGCCAAGACACTTTTCACATACCTAAAACATCTGAGTCACTTGTAAAAGGAAAGACAGTCTGAGAGGCCCTTCAATCCTGTTCCCTTTGCCACATTTTTCTCTTCCCTAGACTCTGCCTAGCATGCATGGAGGTTAGGAAGGCCAAGGTTTTCTTCTGGTGGCTTTCTCTTTATTATTTAATGCATCACGAATCCATCTATTCCCATTGCTCTTTTGGGACTGATGTGGCAGGTAGGAAATGCTGTTTTGGCCAGATACTAATGAATATGTTCAAAAAAAGACATTGTTACAGGAGGTTTAGTATAAGGGTTAAGGTGAGTCTTAAATATAGAACTCCTACTGAAACCTTCCCAAAGATTACAACAAAGCTAGGCAATAATTCTTTGTGCACAAACCTGATATCTTCTGTGGTATCTCAGACTAGACTATCACGTAATCCTTTTATTGAGATTCTAACTTTTTACTGGGATTTTACTGGGGTCTAACATTTTGAACAGCAGAAGGTGACATTTGACATAATGTAAGGTGCACATCTTTGTGGTGTTGTCATGGTCTAACACTTAGAAAATAGAAACATCACATGTACAGTGTGCTTTAGTCCTTTCAAAGGCTATAGCTATTGATTATATGCTGAAGGGAAGGATAACAAGAAGAAATTATCTGGAAAAGCTCACAGGGCACAGCTTGATGGCAGCAAACCCAGTAGATATATACATTTATCCTCTACAGAATGAGACAATAATTTTGCATTAGAAAGAGATGTATTCTCTTAAATAAATTATAACAATTTAGTATTAACATCTGGGTATCCTTTTTAAAAACAGCATCATGTTAGTGACAAAAAACTAAAGTTCCTCTGTCACTGAGCCTGTGTTCATGCTGATGATTTGGGACTTTCTTTGAGAAGTAGCCTATAATCTTAGATAAGATTTATTTCCTAATATGTTGTCCACTTGCTTATGGTCCTTAAGATAAAGTTTTGAATTTAAATACTGTTCGTCTTTGCTACATATTTTTCACTTTCATTTTTTGCCATGTAATCACATTTTTCTACATTTCACAGTAGTCCCATGAATTCTTAATGCCTATTCTGCATTGCATTGCTCCTTATATACTCACTGAGTAGTGGATGTTATGTTTTAAATGCAAGTTTTTATCTGTGCTGCTATAAGCTCTTAGGTCCCTGGGACAGATTCCTTGTATTCTTACAAAATCCACTGTAAGCCCAAATAAGAGGATACTTTTTCAGCAGTGCTATGGACTTTTTCTAGCTCAAACATCTTTATCCACAAAAATTTTTCCAACTGCCTTTTAGAGTAAAAGCCAAAAGCAAGCACCCTTTATGCTCATATACACTTAATGGAGCAGGGCTCTCAGCTAGTGCATTTGTCCAAGGCACCACCACCTAATAAGAGCTGCACCATGTTAGAAAATACCATCTGCTAAAAGATCTTTGTGGGGCTGTGTAAACAGAGAGCATTGAGTGTAGATGAGCCACTTAATGAGAGTGGGCTGCATCTGTCACTAGTACAGCATATTTTTTCATTTTTATGGTAGATTTAATTTGGAAATTTTCATCAGGAGTAGTGTCAATACCTATTCTCCTTGTGCTGGGTTTGGTCAGCACAGTGTGTGACTGGGAGGGAGGGGAAGGAAGTCAAGAAAGAGGAGGAGTTCATTTACCAATAGTATCTGCATCTTCTTAAATTTAAGAAGCAGGAAAGGTTCCTAGTATTCATGGGCATCCTGGCATTAAGCTGCAGTCAGTGACCACAAACACGCTTTCTCTGTGGTCTGTCAATGACGCTGTTGGTTACATTCAGGTAAAGGGAGAGCAGAGTGGACAAAAAATGTTACCTGACACAATAGCATTTTCCACTTGTCTTACATAAACTAGAAGGGATCACTCCTGAGATGTAAAGCACAACAAGGTTCAGTACCAACAGTTCTTTCCTACTCACAGATTTTCACTTTATATTTTTCCCTTCATGCCAAGGGAAGTTTTTACATTCTGCTTGATGGAGAAGTGATCAAAATGGAGCATAATTTTGAAGAGGACTACATGCTGCACATGTTATTCTCCTTTAGGTTGCAGGTTTTAGCATCACATGTCACTGGGTGGTGAGAATACCATCTAAATTACTTGGAATGATACCCACATTAATTATTGTCTCCATTGTGAATTTCAACTTGTTCATAACATCAACAGGTAGGTGAATTTCCCAGGTTGTTCCTTTTGTCTTGGATGTAATTACAGGTAACACCAGATAGTCTCAGACTTTGTAACTGCTTTATAGGG